TTCAATGAGAAATTTAATAGTTTAATTCAAATTCCACCAGAGCCAACCATCTGTGTGTGCCCTTTCTGCCAGTTAATGTCAAACAATTAGTGTTGCAAAGTAACCATTAGGTTCAGTGTATGCTGGGTTGCAAATGTGATTAGCAGCACTGTATGATGTTGAAAAAACCTGGAATTTATCACAACTTTCCTGTGCTCATATACACCATAAATCATTTTGTTCACAAATGTGTGTTGAATGTCTTCAGAATGCTTGTTCTAATGAAACTGATGAATTGTAATTGAAATCCTAATGTACTGTTACGCTAATATTTCTCCTTCATCATTTTACTAACTCACAGGTTAGCTTACAAGTTGTGATTTTATGGAATTTGTGGATGAAAATATGTACTAATACAATGGAGATTCTTCTGAACGAACGTCTGTATGAAGCAACCACTCCTAGTAAACTAATATATTTTAAACAAATTTTAATATTGGAAGACTGGTATATATTGAAACCCTTTCAGCAACAAGTCCTTGTCTTGATCAACATTTGTAATTCATTTTAACATGTTTCCTGTTAATCACAATTTGACGAGTGAACTTTCAAAATACAGGGTAGATATTAAAGTCAAGTCTGACTACTGAATTTATAAAATTCCCATGCAGGATTCTAACTTCAACTATTTACATTTGGCATGTCAACGCTGCCAACCACGTTCCATAATGTATCTTGGAATGTGGCTGACTTCATAAAATGCCTTAAACCCTAATTAACTGAATATCAGTGCATTTAAACATCTGTATGTTGCATTGGATTTCCACCCATAGTGAACAACTTTATTTTTCAGTCAACATGGTTTTGTAGAATTAATTCCCAGGAGCAAAACTATACAGATGAGGTTTTCAATTTTATCACTAAATTGTATTTGATCTCAGAATTTCGGAACACAAGTGACAACAACTCTTGAATATTAAACTTTTCATTTTGTTACATTTGTTAAATTTATATATCTTTATATTGATGCAATGATGCTTGAATTTTTATTTGAAAAGGAAATGGCTATTTAACCCTTTGCAGTTATGTATGTTTGGTTATATAAATGTTTCACTTGTCTGAAGGCATCTCTATGATGACATGGCATCAAGGGCTGTCAGCTAGGAGCTTTTACGAAGGTGGCTTGCTCTTCAGATTGGAGGGCGTCTCTCAGATGACAGCGACCATTCTGCGATCCAATCAGAGGGAGGGTGTATTGGAGATGACAGCTGCTTTTTTGATATTTCTCGATAAGATCACCATTCAACAATGAGACATTGTCGTGAATCGAAATTGGATGGTGTGTTGAAATACAGACGAGCACTGTCTGATCAAAAATGTTTTTCCACTCTTGTTCTCATTGTTCTTTGGTTGGCCATCCAGCTCTTTACCCATATGAATAATTTGAGTTGTTTCACATCCCATTTCAAGGGAGATTTGAATGTAAAAATTATTTCTGTATACATTGATCTTTATATTAAAAATAAAATAATTGTTTTCTTCCATTGTATTTAGTTGTTTATTTCCAACATTGTACAATCAATGTATATAAGTACTAAAATAGGCCAATTTGAAATGTGATTTTCAAAATTGAAGAAAATATATTTTAATTATTTGCATTGGCTATATAAATATTTGATTAATTGTGAAGTTAGAGCAAAAATAATAACCCATAAGTTCAATTCTGTTTAAAATACAATGCCAGTTTACTGAAATATAACTTGTATGCTCTTGAGACCACAAAACAATGGCTGAGCTGATGGAAGTGCGAAGTGGATTTCTCCGAGTCAACATGCCATATTTTTATTACACCTCAGAGATGCCCTTTGACATGTAGGACAGCACACTTCCTGCAGGCACACAAGCTGAGAAATCATTTCAAGATGTCATTGTTGACATGCCATACGAGCGCAAAGGGTTAATGGGTGTTTCATTGTATATGATTCTGTAGGATGTAAGATGTGTAGATTTTTAACAATCCTGCTGTCTTCAGCAGCTTGATAGGAAAACTGATGCCTTTTTTCACATTTTTCCAATGAGATTTTGAAGGAAAAACAAATTAATTGTCAGTAGCGATTTCTGTTGCTCATGGATAGTGATTTTGTTCTATGAGATACAAAGTTCTTATGAACCTAAAAAACATGGGAATGTTGGGTACAGTTATGGCCCGTAGAAGTGGTCTTCCAGAAATCTTCAAAGCCCTTGGAATAATTGCAGTGACACTTCCCAATTTAAATCATCTTTACATAATTTTCAGCAATCAATTTCATGCACAATTATTTGAAATAATATTAATGAATTATATTTAAAATGTCACACAATTGTCATTTTCCTAGCATTGATAAGAAGCCCATTTTAGGCAATGAAAAGTGACTTACGTTGTGTGAAGTATAGAGTTACTTCAAATGTTTTTGTAAAATTATCTCGCATAAAATAAATATTTTATTAGTTCTTGTTTTTAGATCTTGAATACCTAATGGTTATTCTTCATAAAAATAATCTAGAAAATTAGCCTGGAAAATCTAAATTTCTGTGCTGGAAAATCTGTAAAAGTAGTGGAATTAAGAAGTTTTAAATTTGCAAAGGCCCGTTACTGTGAAATCAACAGTGTGGCAAAGAGTTAATATTACTCTGCTTTGGGTTGCTTGAGCGTTGGATAATTACTAGCATAGTGTGAAATACTTTAAACAGTTTCAATAGCAATTTTAGTTTTATTAATTTCATTAGAAGGCCTTGCAAAAGAAATGGCCAGTTTCCCAGCAGCAAATCAAGATATATCAAATGACGTAATACTTGTCTCAAATTGCACACAGGAAGGGATGCACACAATAATTTCTTCCCATGGTTCCATCTGCCTATCTTTGCTTTGTAATTTGTGAAAATGTAAAAGTTCTGTTCTCAGAGAATATGAAGAAAATGGTCATTTCCTCAAGCAGACTAAGATGCGTCTAATCACACCTTGCTTGCCCCAAGCAGTACGGAAATTATTTCTTTGCATGCTTCACAATCATGATTCAATATGTCCCAATCTGCTATCTAACGTTTTAAAATATAAAATAGCTAGGCAAAACCCATGAAAAATGGTGGGACATTTTTACTCCTTTGCATTAAATACTGGTTTATGCTTCTTAAATCAAAATGCAGTGCGAGTTATTCTTTAATTTTAAAAATTCCTTCCTTATAAATTTTCCCCACTATCATTAAAAATGCTTTCCTGTTCTGGAATTCACTCTGTGAAATTGACCACAGACAAAGTCGGATTCTTTTAATAACACACCCACATGAAAGATTGAACCCTTATTTTTTGATTGTGTGAACAAACATCTTTGAATGATCTATTGCACCCTTGTAACAGGAGTTCGGAAGTGCTTTATTTAGGCTTTAAAATTCAAAGAATTTCTATTCCAACTACCCCTTCCCTAATCCTAAACTCCCCCTCAACTTCCTAATTGAATACTATGAAAACTATTATAGTTAAATAAATTTGGTGGACTACCATCATATTCCAATAACAACGAATAATAGTGCAATTTTATTGCGACCTGATCGGTCTTTAATTTTTAATTGCTTATGGAATTGCCCTGTTGGAAAAATCTTTTATGGCAGGATGTCTTTAAACCAAAAGTAGTAATGAGCAAAAAATTGGAAGTTTCTATCTTGCTCTCATTTTGCTTAAATTTCGCAAATTTTAGACATGGGGAGCAAGAAATTGTTATAGATAAGTGTTCTCAAAGGATATGATAAAAACGGCCAGTACTCTCACTAGCAGATCAAGATGCATTGAATGACTCCTTGCTTGCCCCAAAAGGTGAATCGGAAGGGTCTAGTTGTGAGAGACTGCCAAACGAAAGGATGGAAATGCAGGTTACCTAATTACTCTACGTTGGGTTACCATGCATTTTAAGTCATAATATTTGATAGGCCTGTGTCAGTATTACACACATTGAACAAATTGTTGAAGTTTGTAAAATTACACTTTGGTGCTCAATGTGTTAAAAACTTATTGGATTTGTAGGAAATGATGTAGTGGTTGTACTCCATTATCCTTGTTTTCCTTCATTTATTAATTTTTCTATTAAGTTCTGATTTGATCATCCTCTGATATTTAGATATATTGTACTTATTTCTTAGGTATCAGAGTTTTTGACTTGATCTCTGCTCTGGACTAATAATGTTTGTAGTACAGTTCCATTCAGTGCTAAAGTATAGCAGGTGGTGTTATATTGAAGAGGTTCATTGTAATGCACAAGATCAATGTTCATGAAGGTTTCATTACTGATTTTGTTATCAAGCTTATAATAACTTTGTACAAATTTGTAGACAGCTTTACCATCTTCTCTAAATTTCCAATTTAGTGGTGAGGGAAGAAGGCCTTGAAGGGCCTGTATCTTTCTACTTGAAGTCAGTTTTTAATTGGAAATGTTCTTAACAAGTCTAAGAAGACATTTTATTTATGCAAATGAATTTTTAATTTTACATATGCTGCTCAATGGAGTTTTATTCAATCAAATTAAGATGCTATATTCACAGGCGATCTAGGTTATTGATAAAGATTAAAATGACAGAGCAAAAAGTATGTTTTGCTAATCCTAAAGGAAGGTCTCAAATGCGCAGTACACTAAGAGCAAGTGAAAACATAATTCGATCATAAGATGCGAATGTTCTTCACTGAACTTCATATTAGGTCTTCAGTATTGAGCAGAATTAATCCAAATGTGAGATTCAGGATATAAACAGATGTAAAGATGAATGTATTTGAACAGCTTATGAAGGACATATTATGAAACAGAGTTGTCACTAAAATGATCTTACAGTTGTTCTACAAAAGAAGACCCTTATTTCATACTTTAACTTGTAATTTTCCTTAAAAATTAATGTGTCCTTGGGGTACCATAGTAAAATAAATTTGGTGCATGACTTTCCATTAGCTATGAAATGCAGTAGTGTAATCTGCAGTTACGTTTTTATCACATTGTAGGTAGTGCAAGAACTTGATGAAGAAAAGCGTAAACATGAACATGATACTGCTCAAGGTGATGATATTACATACGGCCTAGAGAAAGAACGGACTAGGTTGAAACAGGTAATATGTGCATGGCTTAAATAACATCCCTTTTGTAATCCCACTGCCAAACAAAGCTCTCTTCAATATGTTGTAGGACTCTTTCCTGATTTCTATTAATAAAGCAAAACAAAAAATATGAGAATGGCTGGTGTGATATTAACCCAGCTTGAGTTTGTAAAGTAATTGGAAGACCCACTTTTGTCAGTGAATAATATCAAGCCATGCTGCTTATCTTCAAAGTTTCTTATAGATTATATACTAAAGTTGAGAGTTGAACGATTGAAGGGGAGCACTTAGCTGTTATTTAGATGAAAAGTGGCAATGCTAGGTACAGTAGATGATGTATGTTTGTATTTTCTTATTAGCTGAAAATGTGCACTTATTCTTGGTCTATTGGTTACAGTAAGAGTAGAATTTATTTATTTGCCTCTTTATGTCTCATAATCTTAATGCACTGAGTGTTTAGCACATACTGCTTTAATGCTTTTCCTCCCCAATTCTGAGGATCTGCTGCAGTAATTATTTTGTCAGATAATCATTGTAGATCGGTGGATATCTCAGGATTGAAACTATTACATTGACTTGATCTATTTACTTAGAAAATAGTATTATTTTACTCATTGTATTTGTTTTATTCCATAATGGCACTTCAGTCATTTCTTAATGAGAAATTGTGTTGTGTTTTGTTGCTTTTCTCTGAATTGTCAGTGCTCCCTTCCAGAATGGAAAGTTTCATGCAGTTTTGTTATGGTTTTTCTTTTACCAAAAAGTTGAATGTTCTGTATCCAGATACAGTTTAGGAGCATTTTGTTTTTCAGTTGTATATCTCGGTTACAATATATTGTTTTGGTAGTTTGGTTTGAAAATAGTTACCCACAGGGTGTTAACCAAAAGTGTGTGGATAACTTGTGTGGAGTATTATCCTAGTGCATGCCTGACAACCAAAAGTTTCTTTATGTGTACTTCATTATGATTTGAATGTGTTGACTGTGTTACTTTTAAATGCTTCCTTTTTGTGTGAAATATTCTTTCTCGAATCTACATGACCTTTGTGTTTGTAAAGCAGTTATTTGTTAGTGTAAGTCTCTTTTGTAGTTACTCTCTTAACCCATTAACCTACTAAGGAAATCTAGAATTACTTTTTTCAATTTTGGTTAATTTTCAATCAGTTCATTGACTAACCAAAAAATGATGAAATACAAAGTACATAATTAAAGGGTGTGCCCAAGCAAGTACAATGAGATGATAAATAATTGAACTGTTCAAAGCAGGTCTTTCAATTCAAAGTGTTTTCTGGTATTTCTCTCAACACTCTTACACTCTACAACATTCTTACAGCAGATGATCTTAGTGGATTTTCAATTATTTCAGGATTATATTTGCTGCTTTTGTAAACTTGTACAAGGGTGGAGGATGGACAACTTAGCTTCAGTTCATTTTGCTATGTCCCTTTTCAATGTCATTTAATCAAGACACTCTGTCTGCTTTAATTAAACATTAAAACCAAACATTAAAAATTTTCAAATATACAAAGTACATACAAATTGCAAATCATCGTTTTTTACGTCTTTGCTATGTGGTACATGCTGACTCAACTTTGATAAACTCTACCCATTCCTTTATTGTTCTTTTGAAATGCTTGTGGTGTATTATAACGTTGTTTGATCTTACTGTCAACCAGAGAAATCCTGTCAGCCTGCCGTGAACATGAGAAAAGGGTAGCGTTTTGCTTATGCAGGAGGAGGCGAGTCCACAGAATCATGTTCCCCACATCACTTGTCGACTCAAGGAAAATCTGGGCGTAAATAGCAAAACAGTCATAGAGTATTTGAATAAGCAAAATCATTTATTACTAATTATTGAAATTTTGATTCATTAAAATAGCTGGAAATCATTCTGCACAGACTACTCTTGTTATCAAACATTTTCATGACCTTTTTAACATGTATATTAACCCTTTGACTGTTCTGGACAAGTTGATATGCAAAACATTTTCGTGCGTGGTAGCCTCAGGATGAGTTGTAATGCTCAGTGCGGTTGTCATTAGGAGCCTCTGGATGAGATCGTACGTAGAAATGCGATGAGCCTCTGAACGAGTTCTCTCATGCAGATGCGCTTTTGGCTATCTCTAGGATTGAGACTTCTTTCACGGTATCTACTACATGCGAGCAAGGTCAGCTCACAACGGGGCCTGCAGCGAGAAACATGTCATGTGTCTTGTCAGCTGGCTTGTAACAGTTAAGGGGTTAACAGTCAATTTTATCAAATATTTCCTTCTCTCTTGATGCCTTTTTCCTAACTTACACTGAGTGAAATGGAAACAAACAACTGCCTAGTTGAAGTGGAGTTTATCTTGAGCTCTCACTATGTCAGCTGCTGCTTCCTGCAGGGAGAGAAAGAATTGCACCGTCTACTCTCTTGTAGTTCCCATGTCGGGTAGCTAGCCATGGTGTATCTATGCCAGCTGCAGGTTTGCAGCCTGTCACTCTTTCAGCGCTTGTGTGACCAGTTCTTGCATGCCCATTGTTTCCATATATTTCCCATTTTAAGCAAGGAAAACACTGTGGGCTATATGAGCATGTAAATGATGTGTAGTAGTCAAAACTCTCGCGGTTGCACTTGCTACATGTTTCTCGGTGTTTAAGTGAGTAGTAACTTTGTAAACCAATTCAGCAAGTAAGTTCTAAAAGAGAGTGAGTGAATTAGCAAATAAAGCCGAGCAAGAGCTTAAGTTGAATACCTGAGTCAACACATCATCAAAGTGCGAAAATAAAATTCAAAATTTCCAAAAATTCAAAAGACATAATAAAAATCAGACTTTTACCAAAGTTATGAACATATTTAGAATTTTTTACTTGAATAGATAGAAGAAAATATTTAAAGCAGTTTTTGAAGTAGTTCATATAAAGTTAAAGTAAATATTAAAAGATCTGTTTGAAATTCATAGATCATTATGTTAAATTAGGCCCCCTGAGAATGTAGGTTATGGGAAAAACATTATATGGCATTGGTGATGCTATTGTTCACAAATGTACAGGTGGTTTGAAAAGCACTTGTTGGTATCAGGGACTTGTATCTTCATCAACATGGAGTATTTCCATCAAAATATCAAGATTGATTTATTGCAGCATTACATAAAGTTTCTTCATATTGTGTGTTGGGGAGAGTAAATAGAATCACCTTCTGCATCCTTTGATTTCACCTGCAAAGTTATTTTTTAAGCAGTATAACTTCCCCAATATTCTACTAAGCAAGCAGTATTCGTATTCATCTAATCTTTAGACTAATAGCCAATATTTTCCTCCAATGGTAGGAATATGTTAGAGAGGTTCAAGGACTTCATTCATTTTTCATTTTTTCATTCATCTGTTACAGCATCAGAATTAGGTGGCAAATCATATTCAATGATATATTGAAGTCAGTGTCCTTATCCATAAGAGGTACAATGGCCCCTTCAAGACTGCAAAAGATTTCATGACATTGAAAACCTACTTTACTGTAATATTCTGTGTTTCTGTTATGCGTGAAACTTGTAGTAAAGTATAATTTTTATTCACCCATTGTACCGGTTTGTGTTACATACAAAGCAGAAGCCTATAAATGACTGTTATGAAAAATATATTCTGTTGGAAAAGCTTATTGTTAAAATGTATTCTTAACACAATTAATATTGAATTTGACCGAATGATCGTCCAGAATATTACTTATCTTCATGCCAATAGTCAAAAATTGAATTAATTCTTCTTACTAATTATATCCGTTAGCAAAATTATGACTCAGTCGAAAAATCAAATATCTTACATTATAGAAATAGGTAATGAAAAATGTATTCCCTAAAGAGTACTGTGGGCGTTAATGGGTTAAATGAATAATATTAAGAGTAACATGCTAACAGGTTTGTCAATATAAGTAAAAAGCTAAAGCAACAAGTTTGAAATAAATTGTAATATCTGTGCAATGAAACAAGTTTGTTCATTACAATTAATTAAAAAATCCTGGTTATTGTTCAATTCTTCCTTTAGGACATTAGTAATTTCACCTGCTTTGTTCACTTCTATTATCTGCCTGAAAAATTCATGTATTAAATAATTGGAAAGCTGAATCAATGGTAATGTAGTATTGTAGCAGTTTTATTATTCTCTATTATACACAAAAGCAGACTTTTGACTATGAAAACAAGTTTCATATTTCTTAAAAAATTTAATAGTATTGAATACATATATGATTGATTTGTAGACTTTTTAAATTTCAGCTTAAAATATTCTGTGTTGATTATAAAATGATAAGGTAATTTTTTTATTTAGTGATAAACCCACTATATTAATGAAAGTGTGTTTGATTTTGTTTTGATTTTTTAAAGTTTATTAAAGTTCTCATTTGTTTCTTTGAACTGTTTCTTATAGTTGCTTCTAAGATAATTTCTTTCTCCAGCATTTACTTTTATTTCTGGTAAAGCTTCAAATAGAATGTTGTTATTGAGAATATCTCTTTTGTTCTTTTTTGAATATCTTCTTGGACAGTTGTAATTACCAGCACATGTTTATTTAATATGGGAACTGTTTTCATTCTATTAGTAATTGTTTTGAATAAGAATAATCAAATTGTGTCAGAAAATTTATAGTTGATTTAATGTTGAACTTCAATAAAAATAGTAAGTAAATGTATGTTTTTAAATTCTTATTGTTCAAAAATTTTTTAGATGTTGCAATATGTAGGTGCACTTCCCC